GTCAGGGCTAACTCGGGTTCCTTTTTCGGGAATCCAAACCCGAGTTACCCCGGACCCGAGTTACCCCGGATAACTCGGGCGCCCAACAGCAGGGCGGAGCAGCTCGGAGCAGAACAAAAATCTCCCACTGCTCCGCGTGCGGGCGAATCCTGTGCGGTGCTTTTTATAGGGTATGGCGCGGAGCAGTTTCCGATCCTGTTTGGGGGTAGCCGAGTTTTGAGCATCACGCGGATCGGAAGCTATTCCGCCGAGTGACGCCAGCATCACCATGGAAAGAATCCGAGAAGGGCGGGATACACCTTCGCCACGACAGAGTGACGAAACGTTTGGCACGGCCTTGTTGTGGATGCCAAGGTGGGGTATGTCTGACCGAGGCTTGCTCATACGTGGGCCACCGATGCCCCAAGTGGCTCAAGGGGTCAAAGAACTCCCCTCGGTGGGCGGCGTCTTCTTACCCCAGATCGCGTCCTCCATAAGCGACTGGGGATTTGCAACCCACGCGTAAGCTGGGTTGGGCCTTCAGGCCAGATGCAACCCGCCTCAGCATCCACCGATACCCCCCCTCCTCTTAGCACCCCCCCCGACGATCCCAGCGCCCCCCAGACATCCAATGCCGCTACTTCTTCTATACGGGGTCCCCAGAAGTCCCGACCCTTCAGGGTCCATTTCTGTTCGATCGGTCCGATACGAAATCGATTCCGGAAGGCTCGATCCGATTCGATCTTGATGTCCCGACGATTAATTGCGGCCCGTTGTTTGCGTAGCGTTGTTGTGCATCTTGGCGCTGCCCATCCGATTCGAGTTCGACTCCGCACCCTTGCGGCCGGATCCGCCCCGGTTCCCCGATGCGATGGTGATTGATCCTGCCCTGTCCGCGGGGCCAGTTTATCACTTCGAGTCGTTGTTGATAGCTTTAAGTCGGGCCTGTCCCTCTACAGGAGGAATATTCAAAAACAGTCAAAAAATAGTCCGGGGACTATGTTTCTGGTATTTTTTACCATTTTGAGATTTCTTTTGTGTCTGATTTTTTAATTTTTCGCCCACGATCCCCCTGTAGGGGGACAGGCCCGACTTGATGATAGCTGGCGAAGAGGCCCCCGGCGGCCGCACCCGGCGCATGAGGTGCTGGCCAACCGCACATATACGGTCTGCGAGCAGTTCTGCAGTTCCCCTGGGGCGTTGCCTGGAACGGGCCCCCGCAGGCCTAGAGGTTGACACCAACACCCATATCGGCGGTGCGCATCATCCACCGAGAGAAGAAAATCCCGATCTCGGTGATGGTGGTGATATTCTGGCTTCCAATGTGACCGAACTATTACCACCAACACCGAAATCTAGGATCATCTCCCCCTGTGGAGGCAACCCCCTATGTTGGTGTTGGTGCCAATTTCCAGGCCCCTGCATTGAGGTCGAAGCGGGCCCAAGATCTTGCGGCGTGGTGCTTCCCAGGCTCTGGCGTCGTGATTCTTGTTTCGCAGCGTCGACCCCCAGAGGTCTGGGCCTCTTCCCCGGGACCGTTCTTTCATCCTGGGTCGTTTTTGTCACGGTCCCGGGGCCCGGGGAGGGCCCCCCGAGGCTGAAAACAACGAAAAGCTCCCCGTCGTGCTTGTGTCACGACGCGAGGAGGTCTGGGCTCCACGACGTTCGAGCACCTCGATCTGGGCCCGACCCCGCGACCAGGATCCTGGCCAGCGCGCCCGCCGCGGAGCCCGCGGCGGCGGACGACGAGGCTGCCGCGCGGCGCGCCCACGAGCTGCCCCCGGTGGCCTTCGAGGACGTCGCCGAGGGCGCCGGCCCCCGCGTTTCGGCCGCGGTGCCCAGGGATTGATGTTTCGGCTACTCGTAAGAGTGACCCTTGGCTGGAGTGACCTTTGGTGCGGGCTCGTCGGGGTCCCCCCGGTGGCTGAGCACGACGCACCAGCGGCGACTTGCGCGCTTGGGTTTGGCCACCTTGCGCCCCCTTAGTCCGCGCACCAAAGGTCTCTCTTACCCAGGGTCGCTCTGGCGTGCTGTCGAATGTCGCTATGATTCCTCAGAGGGGTTTTTCTCAGAGGAGGAAAAGGTAGACATACCCAGGCATGGTCGAGTCGTTTGAAAATCAGGACGAGCGTTTTTTCGCTATTTTCGGCGTCCGGGCGCCCTCGCCAGTTCCCGGGACCGTCAAAAAATAACTCAGGACGAAAAACCGGCTCCGTCCTGAAAAAGGCAGGACGTCGCATGTCTGAGTACCGCTACCCTGCCCTCGTTCTCCTCGTTTTTGGGCTTCCTGGGAGGCCCTCGTCGCTACCGCTGCATTCGCGTCGAGATTCTGGTCAGAACGCACCCCGGGAGGGGTCCAGGGAGCAATTTTTGGTTTCCCCATTTTCAACACGGGGTCCCCGGAAGTCCCGACCTTTTCCCCAGGGACGGCTTCTCATACAGTCATCCCGCATGGTAAGGTTGGGCAACCTTCCCAAGGGGACCCTTGCTTCCTTGCCTCCTCGGCTCATGCTTGGCCACT